TCCAGGGTGGGTTGTGACATCTTCTGGCGAAAGGGGGTTGTGTCCCTCGGCGAGTGCAATGGGGTGGTTTCAGGTGCCTAATTGCATGTGCTGCAGGCTGCCAAGTTTTGGCCTGCTGCAAAGATTGTCTGACAGAAGAGATGATCAAAGGGTTAAGGGAGAAAAGAGGATTAAAGAGGAGTGTGGGAATTATGACACAGAGCTGTCACCACAGTGTGCTTTGGAGAAAAAGGGCAGATAATGCAGTCCAAAACCACACTATTTATTTACTTTTCCCCCAAATGAGGGAAGAGCTGTGGCTTGCTGGTGAAGCAGCACACCGTATTTCATTAATCCTAACAGCTCGCCTCTTCTCGCTAGCAGAGCTCTGGCAGACAACTCTGGGATTGGGCTTGCTGTAAAAAAAAAATTATTTATTTGGAATTACAACAACAATTTGAAAAACCCAAACAATTATCCCAGGTTCAAGGCAACCCAATACATCATCAGCAAAGCTGTAAAATTCCTGCCATGTTAAAGTAATCATTTAAACAGCGGCTTCACCAGGTCCTACCGGGCTTCCTGCCTGCCTCTTCATCACTGTAGGCTCTAAATATCATCCATCCTTTCCAAACACCATTGAATTTACCCCCAAAAGACCCCCCCGAAGACAGTAAAATACCCCCCACTCCATCTCCGTAGCCCAGGGCTGTAGCTGCTGTGCTGCTTTTTCTGAGGCAGAACGGGAAGCGCTCTGCTGAACACCCAGCTTTTGTGCATCCTCGTCGTCCTCCTCCTCCCACCATGCAGCCCCCGCTCTGGCAGTGGTGCACCCAGCCCGGGGAGCTCGAGCTAGGGCTTTCCGACCTAACGCCGCCCCTCCGCAGCGTGCCTGCCTGCTCGCCAGAGGGAAGGGAGGGCACAGAGCTGCTGGAGCGACAGGCACAACCTCAGCTGTGATGAGCGTTACGGCGACGTGCGAGGAAACCAGGGTCCTGCACAGCGGTGCCTCGGCGGGAGGAGGAGCAGGGCTTGCTGGGCTGGGGGTCAGGTACCAAAATCCGGGCGAGGCAGAGCAGGTGGTGAGACCTCCAGCCTTAGCGTTCGCCAGGAGAGGAGACGCGGGCACCTGAGCCTCCCTCTCCTTCTTCCTTGCTTGCTCTCCCACCTATCCATAGGAAGAAGCCCAAATGCTTTCAAGAAGTGGGGGGAAAAAGACATCTCCCCTACCTAGATGGAGTTCACCTCGGAGCCCACAAAGGCAGGTTTGCAGGAGCGCGGCTTTGGCCCAGCGCTGCACGTTCGGCCGGCAGGCGTGGGAGGAGAGCGGAGGAGCAGCAGGGCCCGCTTCCAGCTCCTGCCCTCCCCCTGCCTGCGTGCTGCCAAATGTCCCTTCCCGGCCCGAAATCCCAGGACTGGGAATGCTGTTGGACAGCCCTCCCTCCCGTTCAAGGCAACGGCTCCTGCTGAAGGTCCCAAAGTGTTCTCCTGCGGTGAAAGCGTCACCCCCTGCCCTCCCTGCTGCGGCACGGCTCAGCCCCGTCGTCTGCATTTGCACGTGGGGAAACCGAGGCCGAGGGAGGCGTGCGAGGATGGGCCAGGTTCCTTTCTCCACGTCCAGCGTCCAACCATCCTCTCCTGGCTGGTTGTTACGGGGTCCTTAGCCACTCTGTGAGAACTGGAAAGGCAGCTAAAAAACCTCAGGTGCCAAACTTTGCTGTTTGTTTACGAGAGGGCAAGAAGGGCTAAAGGGGCGTGGCAGCAAGAGTTTTTTGTCCTTCTGTGTCTGTGGTTTGAATTGGTGCTAAGAGCAATAGTTCCTGAGTGCCTGCAGTGGTTGTGCAAGGCATGACCATCACCACTAGCTGGTCTTCTCGTTAGCCGCATCAGAGATGTCAAGAAACTAAACCTGAAACTGTAAGGAAAAGCAAAATGGATGGATCACAAATCGTTTATTAACATTCGCTGACGCTAATGGTAATGCTTTCAATAAGCCTAATGAAAAGTGTTTGACTGTCTCTGTGAACTTGATTATTGATTATTAGTGAACAATAAGAGTCATTTGCTATCTTGCTGATGCCATGCTCCTATTGCATTGCAGTTAAAATGTCAGTTAACATGCCATTTAATATTCTATTAGCATTGAATTAGCACTTATTACACTGTGAAAATCATCACCATAAATCCTTATTAAAGCGTGATCCATACAGCTGGGTGGCATCTCTGGCAGACTAAGAGGGTGAGTGTGTGCAGACAGACATACTGAGATGCATCATCCACGTGGATGCATGTTTGGAGCGTGCCAGGACTTGGAATATCCACATTTGTACATTGATTTTTCCTGATGGTTTGAGAGGAACAGGGATGCTGAACAGAGCAGCTCAAATCCATTTCACTTACTCTTCCCATTTTCCTCCTTTCTCTCCCCCACCTCACTTTATTTTGGTAGCACCTGCTAACTTATTTCAGGGGCGCTTGCAAGGTTGCCTGACTAGCTGTTGACCACTGTCCTAGGGCTGGCCTCGGGGGCTGTAAGACAGGTTCTGAGACACATTTTCTCTTTGGCAGAGAGGAGGGAGGGTCCCTGGGTGTGTGTCCCCTCAGGAGCAAGAGGACGAGGTTTTGCTCCGACCATGCTGCTGAGCTGCTACTGAGTCCAGGGACATTGCAGGGGCATCTTTACTACCTCAGAGCAGAGGCACAGGGTGCGGTGTAGGACTGGAAAGCAGCCCGGCAGGGCTGGTGCTGTGCGTTGGATCTACTGGTGCCCAGCAGCACTGATAGCTGTGCCGGCGGATTTTCAGAAGTGGCTGAGAAACTTCAGCTCCCACTGACTTCAGCTTCAGCTGTTAATCTGCTTAGCTTCTCACCACCATCCCCCCTTGGGATTTTCACAAATCCAAAATGTGCAGAGAGGGGCTTTGAACACTTTTGAAAAAAAGACCTAACCCCCGATTCTTGGTGCCGTTGCGACCCTATGCAGAAATGTGTGTGCAAGAAGACGGGTGACCCTAAGGCAGCCGGCTCTGGAGACAGTCTGGGTGTCCCTGCAGGGTTACTGCTCCCAGCCATGGGGCACAGTGCCCTCCCTGGGTCCTTGCTTCCAGCTCCCATTGCTGGTGATTCCAGCCCGGGGTGGCCAACCAAACTGGGGCACCTCCACATCGCAGTGATGCTGGTTTCTACATGTAAGCGGCTGCTCATGAATTCCCCTGCCCACTTCTGTGTTTTACAAAGAGCAGCTCTTTAAAAACAACGCAGATCACAGCCGAGAGCTCACCTCAGGGCAAGTGCCTCCCTGGCCGGGAGGGTGGGCTCTGGCCTGAGAGGCAAACCACTGCTCCCCTCCCCTGGGGCTGGCCCGCGGCGGTGCTGGCCGGGGTCTGTTGGGCTGGTCTCTAAAGCAAATGTTTGTTGGATCAGAGCGAGCTGCTTCCAGCTTGGTCAAAAGCCTGGTGCGCCTCCCATTGATGCCCACACAGCTTGGCTTTCCTCCTGCCCACAAGTAACCCCAGAAGATCTCGCAGAGCATCCGTGGGTGTGCCAAAAGGGAGAGGGTGAGAGGTGCCGGCTGTAATGGTAGGGTCACATAGCAAGGCAGTTGCAACGCAGCATGAATGAAATGCATTCAAATAGAGGAACTTGGAAAATGCCTGACCCGTGTTAAGAGGCTGTATGAAAGCCTACTGTCAAATATTTGTCTTATCTTGAAACGATAATCTTTATCGTCTCTCTTTTCTCTCTCAAATACAACACATGCTTGAATAGTGGTGGGGAGGGGGGTTATTTGGCTGCCAGGAGGCCGTGGGCAGAGCTCTGAGGGGTGAAGGAGCAACAGCTCTGGAGACTGAGCTTCCCTATTTATCCGCAGAGCAAGCAGGCTGTGAGCTGCTGTAGTGCAAACCCTCTCAGCCTGTCATAGCATGGCCCTGGAGAACACAGCTGCCAGCGTGAAAGAGGAGTTATGTCCCCATGTCTTCATCAGCCCTGGACCTCTGGAATGAGACATGGCTGAGAGCAAGCGGGGTGTGCCTTCGCACTGGTACTTCTCTTCTGTGCAAACCAGCTTCTGGAGGTGGGAAGTGGTACAGAACAGGTGCCTCGGCCAAAATGCATTTGTCTTCACAGCACCTTCAACACTCTCTGTCAAGGAGCAAAATGCTTATCACGCGGTTGCAATAGGGTTAGTCTGCCCTCTGCTTTGCACGGTTGGCAACTGGGGAGGTGGCAGTTGCTGGTCCTGCTGCTGCTCTTCTGCCTGCTGCCCCTAGCTGTCATTGCTCCTCCTGGCTCACCTGGGATGTTCACAGAACATGCTGCATGTGTCACAGGGGTGGCAGGGACACCCAACTGCCTTTCCTTTTTAGCCTGGAATCTGCACTTGCCTGCACAAGCGGGCAGATGTGCATCGGCAAGGGTTGTGTGTGTTAATGAGGTGTTGTTTGAGGAGTGAATCCCTCTTTCCACCAAGCCATTTTTTGCCAGAGGGACAGAAAGGGGAGATACACCATAGCTTCCTCCCCTTGTGCCTCTCAAAATGAGGGATTGAGCCGCTGAGCTGACAAAGCTGGAGCCCTGAACCTTTACCCTCCAGACTGGCAGGGGTCTGGGAATGCAATGCTCTTGTATACTTAACTTTTGAAGATGAGAGAGAAGCATGGGAAGAACTTCTCCTGACCTTTCTCATTCTCAGAGTTAGAAAGGATTTGGTGACCAGAATCTCTTGTGGCCTTCCAAAATAATTTTTGGTGCAAATGTAGGCCACAGACAAAAGGAAGAAAAAAACAGGAGGCATGGCCACCCCAAATCCCATAGTTTCATGAGCCAAAAGGTTCCTGAAACTCTTCAAAAAATCATTGCAAAGTATGTGGCCATGGGCCAGCGACGGTGAGGAGATGCTGTGGTTCCCTGGCAAGGCAGGAGTGTGCTGAGTTTCTGAGCAAAGTAGTAAAGGGAGCAGACAAAATGGAGATGATGGAGAGGTTTGTTAATCTCCTCCTCACCTTTCTCATCCTCTGCAGGTGTTATGTAGAAGACAGAAGCTCCAAGGTGGCCTGGTTAAACCGTTCCGGCATCATTTTTGCTGGAGAGGATAAGTGGTCCCTGGACCCTCGAGTAGAGCTGGAAAAGAGAAACCCCCTGGAATACAGCCTGCGGATCCAGAAAGTGGATGTCTACGATGAGGGGTCCTATACGTGTTCAGTGCAGACACAGCATCACCCCAAGACTTCCCAGGTTTATTTGATCGTGCAAGGTAAGCAAAATGTCTGAGAAGAGAGCAAAGAGGGAAGGACAGTGGGCAGAAGGATCTGTGTCTCTCTTAGAGAAACCCCGGGGTCAGTAGCATCCCTTTAGTTTACAACAGAAGCCAGCAGCAGCGTTCCCTTCCACTGCAGTGCAATGTGGCTTTACTCTGCTGTCAGTCTGTCCCTTCAAAAGTGGTGACAGAGCAGGGGACATCAATGATGCCAAGACATATTCTGGTATAATGCAGACCTGGCTCCTGGCTCTGGTTGTTCTAGCGCTGAGGGGAAAGCATTTGTTTATAATGACACTTGTCAGAACATTGTGTTTGCCTCATCTCTTCCCAGACAGCCCTCTGGTTTCTTCAACTCCTCCTTCCTCAGATTTCCTTTATTTTTTCTTGTGTCAACAAGCTACTGTGCTGTGGTTTTCAGCCTTCCATTGTCAACTCTTTGCAAGGCTGGGGAATTAATTTTCCTTGTATCCGAGGTAGCTGCCACATACCTTATGTTGTCCTCTCCTTTTTTTAGCTACCCTCCTCCTGTGTGTGTTATAGGGAACTGGAAACCTGGCTATCTGAACCACCGTTGTCCAATCTGTCTGCCTGCATTCATGGCATAACACATGGTACAACATGGTATAATGCGTACTCTGTGTACACATTAAGGAGTTCACCAATTACTGGTAAGGGCATTATGGAGATTACTTGTTCCATCCTGTCCAGACCAGAATATCAAATGAGCGAGTTTACTCAGTTTTGTTTTGTTTTGCTTTTAATCTTCATGTCATTCTGTCTATCTGCCTATTTATCTGAAATATTTATGGAGCAGCTTAGATAGATAGGTATGTATGAATGTGCTCAATGCACACTACAGATATGTTCAGCTTCTACATTATCCTTCAGGCAGGAGTTTGGTTTTTTCTCCTGATCTGTCTAGTAATCCAAAAGGCTACAGATTTTATTTCCCCCTGCAGGTGTTTGAATTGCTCTAGATGCATGCATGAAGGGACTCTTCCACTTGCTGCTATTACTTGGCAAGCCGGGGGCTAGCTAGCACACGGAGTGTTTATCTGCAAGGCGAAGTCTGGACGTACGGTCAGAGAGGATGCTTTACATGCGAGTGTGGTGAGACAGAAGGCTCCTGGTTTGTCTCCTCGTGCAAAATCCTCCCCCAGCGGCGTGAAGAGCGGCACGTGGCAGTGGGCAGAGCAGCAGCCCTGGCTTGTCTGAGGCTTTGCTGGCGTGAACTAACCTCGCCAGCCCCGCAGGTGAACCCCGCCTCGCTGCTCGCTATTGCGGTGCATAGCTAATCGGCTGTGGGGGGATTATTGATGGTAAAATCTCACAGCATACAATTTCCATTTACCTGTCAAGAAAAATATAGGTACAAATGAATTTTAGAGCCACAAACGTGTATTATTAGTTTTATTTGTGCCTAGTAGATATGGGCCTAAGCAGCAAGATGGAGTTCTCTAGCTTAGCTTTCACCTAAATGTGTGGATGTCCAGCTCTGAGCTTTGTCACCTTTCTGAGGATGACAAAATTCAGGTTTTGGCACACCTAAACTCTGGATGCCTGTCAACGAGGTATCTATGGATAATCTTTGTTTAACGCCTGCCACAGATTTAGCAAAAGACCCATTGCAATACCTTGCTTGCTTTTAAAGCCCCAGGTCCTGTAATCCTGTAATTAGGTGAAACTCATAGCTTTGACTTGTCTAAAACTAAATTTCATCCGGTAAAAATTAAAAAAAAAAAAAACAAACCAAGGAAAATACAAATACAAAATCTTTTACAACTTGGAAGAGCTAGATGCAGCATTTTAAACCATGTTTTTATTAGTTTAAAACTAATAAATAATTAATTTAAAATAATTTTAACTAATAGACCTAATTCATTAGAAAATAGTATATGCTAAAAATAATCCCTTTCTTCTCTGAGTATCATTTTCTCATATTGATTATTATTATTCTCAGATTTGTAGGTTGTCTGCCTGAAAAATAGTCTGCCCCTTGTACAAATGAGAGGAGTTTGGATATTGAGTCTTGCTAAGCTTTTTAGTTTTATTTATTTAATGTAGTTTATTTGCTTCTCTTGACTTTCTGTTTGTAAATTTTAAAACCTCAGATATGTGAATCTCTGGACACCCCAAATGTAAAAATGAATCAATAAAAGAAAATACAGCTTCTGAAAAAGTAAATGACAGGGTGGTCAACTGATCTGTGTGGCAATCTGGCAGGAGGATTCCTGGCATGATGGTCAGTGATTCCCTTTGAACAAGCCCAGGGAAACCGAAACAAGCCAGGGTCAGAGACTCCCTGCTAGCTTTGCACACGCTGGTGGTGCCTGGGTTTGTCGGTGGAAGATCCCCCAACGATAGCTGCTCATGCCCTGGCAGCAATAGCTGCCTTAAGTCCGTGCCCAGGCTTCTCCTTCTGCTCCCTTAGCACTGTCACAGGTATTTCTACTCCCCACTGCACTGTATACCAAAGTCAAGTCCTTAATCTCCTCTGCCTCATTTGTACAGCCAATTTGAAAACCCAGCCTCTATTCTCCCTAGGATCAAATGGGATAGCTATAGCAGAGACTAACGAACAGGTAGGCAGATACTGGAGTGGTGTTGCAGCCCTTATAACTAGAGAAGGCCACTTCCACGTCCCCAGTGCCAGCTGAAATAGATGGGCTTTGGTGTACCCTAAGGATTCACTGTGTTTAGACCACTGCAGGTGAATGAAGTTGCATTCTAGGAGCAGGTCCTTTCCTCCCTTGAGAAAATCAGGTTTCCCTGTTGTGAGCTCAGTGAACTCTGCTGGCCAGAGCTGCAGGAGTATATCATGGAAAGAGGGACATCACCTCTCTAACGTTTGTGCCCATGTCCTTTAGTATTTCCAAGGGAAGAGCCAATTCTGCCTTGTCAGCCAGCACCAGTCCCTGAATAGACAGTCTACTCGGTCTGATCCTTTCCTCTCTTAAGTGTGTATGTCTGCTGATAGGATCACTCTCAGCTGAGGCATATTGCAGGGGTCTGAAAGACAGGTAATGGAACAACACTGAAGCAAAAAAAAAAAAATCACCACTTGATAGACAGCTAAAAGCAGAAAAAGTCCTCTTCAGAAATCTGTCCTTCTTTTCAAACTTAAAGCCAGCCCTGCTGGTAGCAGTAGGCATTCACTGCCAAAAGATTCATTAGTGTAAGTGTTGTCATCTCTTCTGTCTTTCCAAGCCCAGCTCAGTTCCTACCAGAGGCAGACACTGCTCTTTCTGCACTGGGGTGAATGCCTGAAGAGGCTGCTCTGAACCACCACTTCACTCAGAGCATTTCATGCTGCTTTAGCTGAGTTGTGACAGCTACTGGCCAATCTTTCTGTTTACTACCCCAGATATTTCTGTTAGTATCTGATTCAGAGGAGCAAAGAGCTGGAACAACGCACAGGAGGTGGTCTGGTCCTTCCCGGTGCAGTGAGACAAGATCAGGTATACAGTGGCTGCCCCTGACGTGTTTTTTGAAGACATCCTTTGCCTGCATAGCCAGTGCATGGCCATTATTTCACCCTCCTTGCACTTGGAAAGCTTTTATTAACATACGATCCAAATTGATTTTGCTGCCAATTATTTCTGGTCCTTCCAAGACACATGGTGGTAATTTCTTCTCCTCTTCCTCAAAACTACCTTTTACCTGTTAGAAGCCCATTAATCCCTGTGTCTCAGACCTCTCTAGTCCAGATTAACGGGCTCATTACTTCTCGCAGGTCATATTTTCCAACCCTTATGTGATATGTATTTCTCTACTGTCTGATTTGTCTACGTGTTTCCTGAAGTGTACTGTCCAAAACCAAAGCAAGAGTTCCAGTTTAGGACTCTGTTGTGCAGATAAAAATACCAGCTGTGTTTTGCATATCATGCTGCATTTACCTAACCCCAGAGTGAGAGGAGATTTACCTTTTTTATAAAAGCACCTCATTGCTTTTCCTTATTCAGTCTCTCTGTTGCTTTCTAACCCTCTGTTACTGGTCTGCAGCAGAATCTGCAGCCCATTCCCCACTTCTGTATTTGAGCATTAATTGTTTTTCCCCCCTTCCTGAGCATAGTGCTTTTTTCTTGCTGTTGTTGGATGCCAACTGGTTGGTTTCTCCATGGAGACCACTTCTTCAGCTTGCTTATGATCTCCAAAGCACTTGCAACTGCCCCCAAATTGGTGTCATTGACAAAAGTCAGGTGCCTTCTTTCTGTTCCATCATGAAGGTGTTAATTAAAGTATTGAAGAGATCAGGGCACAATAATGAACTGTAGTAGCAACCCACTAAACCCTCTATCCCTGGTGGATAGCGATCAGTTGACTGCAGCTCTTTGAAGCATCCTGATGGTGATTTAACATCCACCATGTTATCCTAGCATGTTCCAGAGACTGTCGGGCCTTCTGAAGTCGAGATATATCACCTCATCACACATACTGCTCGCCCATTATCTGCTATGCCATATATTCCTCAAAAAAAGGGAGTGAGACTGGGGTGACATGATATGTGCTTGCCAAAAGTACACTGCTTATTTTTTCCTTTACTGTGCTATTGTCCTCTAGGGGCTTATAAATGGGATGTTTAGTCATTCATTCCAATATGTTGAGTGACTTGTTCCAGGAGAATGAGTCGTAATGGGGACATGGTGGCTGCCCCTTTCCCTTTGTTACCTTGGGTTCTTGTTCTTTTAGGGAGAAGCCCTTCTCAGGCATTAAATGTCAGTGGAGAAATCCCTATAGGCCTTACTTGTCTTGTCAGGGTCACAGGCACATTAGGAGGCATGGGATTTAAAAGAAAGACTTAGGTGTGTCCAAGTCAGGCTAAATGAATAACTTTCAAGTAGGAGCAAGCAGATGGTTGCTGTATTTGCTGTCCAGAGCCTTTACAGCAAGGCATCATTATGAATGGAAATGGTTGGGAGCTCTTCAGTGAAACTAAAACATTTCACTGGTTTTGGCTTTGATTAAAATTTAATCAAGAAGGTTTTACATGTCTG